TCTCGCGGGGGCTTCGGCTGCCTCAGTAGCGATTCATTCCGGGACATCGTTGCTCGTCACTGATACAGATTGAGTAGACGCTCTTCCCAAGAAAAGCACCGATGATCCTGACACTCCATTCCGGGAAGTTCTCCGAATTAAGCCTCACGATCGTCTTCCTGATCAAGTCTGCGACACTGCTACCCATCGTCTATTCTGGGCTCGATGACCCTGTTGAGGAATAAGGGTCTGAGACGGAAGAGGACAGTGAAATCCGATTAAAAAAAAGAGTCAAGCGGACAATGATCATTACAATGTAACTACATATATCGCAATATATCCTACTAATCGATATCTTGACCAATTCCAATATAAGGCAGTGTCCAGCGAAGTATCGAACAAACATCAAAATAGTAATAAGCTACGGTATTGGGAATCCAACGTCGTCGCATCGGATTGGTCCGATCACATTTCCTCCTACAATTACAACTGTAATGATGGCGTTGTATTATGGCCTACCGATTGATAATGATACTAAGGAGAGGAGAGTAAAATGAAATTGGAAATATCCTATATCCCTGATTAACTCCATTGCTGCGTACATCCCTTCATGTGTTCTGGTAGATGAAACGAGCCACAACAGACCTGTATGGGGTACCGCTTGATTATCTCTGAATAGTGTTCGTGTAGTTCCCTCGACCAAGGAGCAGGAAATGGGTTTGCCACCAATGGTTCACTATCGAGCAACCGCGAACACCCTTGTCGCTCTGTTTGCTACGTGAACCACTGGAGACAAACCCATTTCCTCAAATAGAATAGTACCTCGGATACTCGACGTTAGCATGATGTTGAACTAATAAAGCGAATTTACTTACCGGGTGATGGGGACCCACCTGTTGAACGGATTCTGTGGTAAGTGACGATGCTCAGACAAAAGAAGAATGGACCAGGATGCTTACCTCTAATGGAGTTTCCACCGCCCCTGTGCAAATATCGGTTCAGTTATCTTGACAATTGGGGATAAAGGACTACAACCTGCAACACAACTGGGGTTTCAATCCCTTGGGCAAGATGTCACCAGCTGCACCTCCCCAGCTTTCTCGGCACCTATTCAACAGCCCCGTGTTCTTAGCTACTGATGTATATATGAGTTGAATCAGCTGATCTCCACTAATATAGACAGCATGCTTACCACTACCCACCGCCGCCGTATTGTTCATCCGTACCATAGGGAGAATCATGCGTCACTCGAAACCTCCAATTGAACTCCTCGACGTTATTATCGGGCCCTGTTCAGAAACGTCAGCAGAGTTGGGAAAATAATATTCGCCGCATAACATTAGACACGACGAGTATCCAACGAAATACCTATAATAGATCAGTGGAGCCACGCGCCCAGTAATGAAAGACAGAAAGGAGTCTGTGAGTGTTCGTGAGGATGATGGATGAAATTAAAGAACTACGAGTGGGGGACTGGAACGAAAAAAAAAAAGGGAGACTGAGAGGACGGAAAAGAAAACATTAGAATTGAGAGGATGATAGAAAAGAAAATACGAGAGAATGAGAGGAAGACGGAGAAGAATATATATGTTTTGGGTTTTATTGTTTTCTCATTTTTTGGGTTTTGTGCCCGAAGGCTTTTTCGGATTTTTTGGGTTTTTTGTTTTTCATGTAGAGAAAAGAGACAGGGAAGAAAGAAGATAAAGAGATAAAGATAGAGTTGAAGGAGCTGACAGCTCCCCTACCATCTATGTGTCTTGCCCGACGCCAACATGTACTCCAGACCAGCGCGGTGGCGATCAGCCTGAATACGTTTGGGGGCTGCCCCGGGATGGTATTCTTGTACCTCTACCCAGCTCGAGAAAGCCACACGTCGAGTGGCCAGTAGATAGGTGACCCGTGGAGCGGTATGAGCTGTGAAAGCAATCTTTGGCTGGGCCCTTGCCTCAGCGAGAGCTTGAAAGAGGCATTGTGCCCTGCTTTTTGGTGGAGAGGAAGGATCAGATATTTTTTGCTTCACTTTGTTTGAGAGTCGAGCTCGTCGGATTCGAGGGGTAGGGGGTGTCTTGGGTTGGGGAGCAGTGTTGAGGGGAGAGTCGACATTCCTGGATTGAAGTAACTGATCAGATACTCGTATTGCGTATCCCAAGAGGTCTCGAATACTAACCAGGGAAGTGCGGCTTCTGTCGCTACCATTGATTTGAGGGATGCAGAGACAAAGCTTTGAAGTTGGTCAGTAGAAACACGAGCTTTCATGTAAATACCTCTAAGGATGGTCATCGCCAACTTGATAAAGACCGTACAGACGTTGATCATGAGTTCATGATATCCATCGACCATGAGGATCGAAAGGATAAGAAAAATGAAGTGGATAAAGTCTGCAACAGCGAACATTATAGTAAGCAGTAACGAAAATCGGTCAGAGAATCAAACGTGCGTGGACGATGATTGCTGAAGAAAAAAAAAAGACGGTCCAAGTCAACATCAAACACTTACCCAGCCCAGATGCGAATTTTCACTCCGCTGGGCTGAGTTGTGTAATGTACAACAATTCGCGACACTGACTGCTGATGCTATCTTGTAGATTATCGAGTATCACTGTGCAGAATAATTTACCAGATTGGGTCATGGTTCCAGGTGACGTCATGAAATCGACACTGCACTCGACACGTTCCCATGTGCACTAATCCATCGGCAACACCCACAGTACTCACTCTATTTGAGCTCTAAATTCTACGTTGCAGAGGGTTACTTGGGGGACGATAATGCTGTGACCGAACCGTCACTTTTGGTTAGTTGAAAGCCTAGCTGCCAACTACAGCAAGGTGTATGCATTAGTCAGCGATCACGTGCCAAGCATCCAAGCAGAAATTCCGAGGTGGATTTTGCCTTATTAGGAGCGAACCATAAGACGAAAAGCAAGATGTGATTATCATGTTGAGCGCCGGGCGCCCTTAAATACGCGGATTTTGTCCTTGTTCGCTCGTGGCGAAACCCACCTACCTCCATTATTGAGACCGACCAAACAATCGACTCCGAGTAGCTAAGACTCAATAGAACGACCGCTTTCCGCAACACCAAATAAAAGTAAAACAGAAACCTATTTACTCGATTCAACTCATATATGGGGAAATGACAAAATATAATTTTATTATGATTGAGCAGCGTAAGGAACCCGCTCAAACACGATGGAAGATAGGTCCCGGCGTATTGCTGCGAGTTGTGACTCAATTTGAGTAAGTATTTCTAGAGAAACCCTATCTAAGGATAATGATTCGAGCTTGGTGGCCAGTTCATGAATCATTTGGACTTCATCTAGGATCCACTCTCTAGCAGCATCCTTTTCCGCCGCGTGAAGTATATCGGAGCTAGCTTCATTGTTGTCCTGGGTAACTGGGGCTGTGGTGTGATGGGTTAGCGCGTCATGATCATAACACTGAATCTGGTAAATCACTTGAATGCGTACCTTTGTAGCGTTGCTTTTTTGAGTTCTCTTTCTTTGATTGCTTCTTCCTCCAGTTAGTAGTTTCTTTGAGATTGTCTAGCCATGCCTCTTGCTCAAGCTGGGATTCAAATGTGAAGCGACATGGGTTTTGCGAGTATACATGTCGCTGAGGCGTGATCATGTCGAGCTGTAGATTGGGAGAGGGCGGAAGCGGCTGGGGACCGTGTTGAGGCATTGATAAGGTCAATCAGAGATTCAGTGAGCAATCTTAAGTTGGGCCAAACGCCCCCAAGGGTGGGGACCAAAGCGCTACGGACAAACAGTGTTGTATTTGGTATACGTTTGTAGAAACTGGCTCCTGAACAAACAATGACAAAATTCGCGTGAGGATGAACCCTGCGCGCCCCCAGTTATTTTTGTATTTTTGATGATGATCCTACGACCAAATTTCCAGGCAAACCTCCTCTCTGTTCTTTACAACAAATCAGTCCAGCATTACACATGCGAGGGACAAAGAGCGATTGCTTTGGCCCAGCCAAAATGGTTAAATTCGCGATGAGATTTTAATCCAAGCCCATTACTCCTCTCACCAGACTCAAGCGATGGCTGTCAATAATTCCGAATTCGTTCTGAATCAGGCTTCAACTTCTTCTCAAAGCACAGGAGACAGTACGACTGAACCAACCTGGGAGAGCCTTCTTCCCATGTTTGACACATTGACAAACCTCATGTCCACAATGACCCCTGCTGAACGTCAAGCAATAATGCCTCGTTTGGAGAAATTAGACGGCGCTCTCGACGACCTGATGCTGGTAGCATGCGGCAAATCTTTTGATGACACGGTATTGTCTTTCTCTCAGCAAAACATTCTGCTAGATATTAAGAGTTTGAAACTGAAACTGAATAGGTCTTACCGAGCGGGGGGACTGCTCCTGTATCAAAGCCATTCCGGAAGCATAGTATAGGGCCTTGCAGTGGGGACAAAGGACCTGGGAAACCCGCAAATCCTAGTGTAAAAAAAGGATGAGAAATGCAGTGACACATCAAAATCAGACAGGTATTC